GGCAGCTAGGGGAAAGGTCAAAGTTTCTTCCTGAGTCTTTTGGGTCTTGATTGTTTTCAGCTCAAAACAATCTGCATGCCGAAGAGACATTTTGTGGTGGCAAGTTTTGCTCCTCTACACTGGTATGGCATGTTCCTCCTGCTGGATTTCTGCTGATCCCTCCTGACTCCATGGAGATGCCAAAACAAAGATGTGTTTGAGACCTTGTACACTGTGGCATGCGTCATATAGAGGTGAGTGTAATACTGGAAGAAAAGGCTTCCTTTTTCTTTTCTCTTACACCCTAGCAGATGGCTTATGCATAGATCACTTAGAAACTCCTTACAGTGTACAGAAGTCTGTACCAGACTATTGAACCATCTATTCTCATGTGCACTAAGTGATATAAAATGTAACAACATCTGCAGAAAAGTGGGCAGGAAGTCTTATCAGGTTTCCCAATATTTTTCCTCACTGGGCAACAGTAACCAGGTGTAATCTTTTGGAATGTTTTAAGCTCTGAAGATTTGGGACTAATCATAGGAAAGAAAGACCCAACAAGGGAAGAAATAATATTTTCTAGTAAACCAATTGGGAGTTTGGGATTAAAATATTTTAAATATTAAAAGAATGTACCACAGGATAATGAAAGATATATCCATTAGATAAGAGATGAAAAGAGAAAGAAATATGGATACAAATAAATAGATAAAAAATAAGGAGTATATATATATATATGTACTATATCCATATATACGTAATACTCACACAGTATATACATATATCTGTGTCTATATTTATATCCATAATCTTACCCCATGCTACTAACAGTGGTTTTGTCTTCGGCTAATTTTTATCTATATAATTAAAAATTTCAACAATGAGAAAGTATTGATTCTTAATAAGAAATACACATCAATTATTTCTAATTTTAAAAAGAATTCTCTCTTCCCAGACAAAGGAATTTCAAAAAGAAAGAATTTTCTTTCTGAGGATGTTAACCCTTTGCAAGTATGTTTGTGCAAGTGAGAGTGAGTGTCTAGAAGGCTAGTTAACTTGGCTGTAGGCACTTAGTTTTTGCAGGGAAAGTGATTATTTTTAGTGATAGCATATGAATTTCTGTTATTTTATGTCAGTCATCATTGTTGATCTAGTTTATCTAGGAATTAACAAAATTAAGTAAGTGCTACATTTTTCTTCTTACCTCAGTCCTTTCTTGCTTCAGTCACCTCATGTGGTTAATTCAGCTTGTCAAACTTCAATTTTTCTCTTGTTAATATGTGAGGCCGCCAGTTTCCCACTCTCAGATCTCTGTGGGGGAAAAAAAAGAAGAAAATTCAAAATAGAATTTGCTTTCTTCATATTGTCCTCTCATTTTGATACAGATCTCAAAAGATCAGGAAAAAAGGGATGTTTCTAAGACTTTTTTTGGTAAATCTAATTTAGTGATATAAAAAGTAGAAATAATTCATACTTGGCTTTCCATAGTAAAAATATCTATTCCTTCTGCAAACTGGAAGAGTTGAATTTCTCTGGTAACCGTATATAGTCTTACTTCACAGATCTAGAGTTCATGTAAACATTTTTGTCGCTCAAAAGAAAAGTTGGAGGTGTCTGGGGATGGGGTGGAGGGGGCAGCAGGCATAGTGGTTATTTCATGTAGTTTTGTCCAGCATGGAGCACAGGGAAAGGGCAGTGGAGAACCAGGGAGAAAGCCTCATCCATTTGCCTCCTCTCCTTTTCTCCATTGGTGCAGATATACCACCTGCCCAGAGCTGTTGTATGCTGGGGTCAGGGAATTGCAAGCCTCCCGTGGTTTGCGGGGGGGCATTGAAGGACTGTGCAAGACCATCTCTGAAATCTCTGCTTGGTAGCCTAACATTCATGTTTAAACTACCAAATTCCACTATTAAGATTACCCTGATCATCTGTCAGAGTCAAATTTAAAGATTAACAGGGATTCATCTGTGCCTCGGTTTCCTTATTTGTAAAAGAATAATTGTCATTGTGGGAATAAAATGGGATAATGCAAATAAAATACTTATAATAGTATGTATCATATAGTGCTCATCTAATAGTAGCTATTCTTGTTATTATTATGTAGTTCTTGGGCATTGTGTAGCTGGGGTGAACAAAGGTGGGGCCACGGAAAAGAAAGGGAATTAGGTAATACCTGGGAATGTGGTAAAAATGAGAAGAATACAGTTTCATTTACTATCTGAGATGCTTACCTGAAATGTACTCCTTTTCAAAGAGAAAAGAGGACATTTATACCTTTGTATAATCCTGCAATCAGAGTGCACGTGTTCATGCACCATTTTCTCAAATGACACTTCTTAGTTCCAGGAAAGATCACTCGAGTCCAAGCCTCAGAGAATTACTTAGGGCTCCTAAGGAAGTGGAGGCCAGGCTTAAAATCCCAAGAACTAGAGAAACAATTCTCTTCATTAAGGGAACTCCCAGGGGAAGGGAGGAGTTTATATTATAATTAGAATAATAATTATTATTGTGATAGAGGAATTGACATGAGATGATTGTTGGAAGCTGAGTAAGGGTTCATGAATTGAGCGAGAGATCCTGTGCATGGGGGTGATTGGAGGGGTGCTCAGGAAGACAGTTATGTGAACAAAAGCAGAGAAGCATGGAAGAGCATTAGGCCTGGGGAGAAAAAGCAGTAAGTCCTTTTACTTATGCTTGAACATAGAGTGCAAGAGAGAGACAGCAGAGGGAAAAAAAGCCAGAGAGGCTGGGAAGGGTCAGATCTCCTATGGTCTTGTTGACCATGACAAGAAATCTGGAATTACGGCTGAAGACTGAAGAGCAGGAGACTAGAAGAATATAGCTAGAAGCCAGATAAGGAATGATGGGGGCTGGAACTAAGAAGTATCAGTGGGGATTGTAAGGAGGATACAGATACAAGAGAAGGTAAGACTCTATTCTCGGAGATAATCAAGAAAGTAAAGCACACATGATCTTCCAATTAAAGATTTTATTTATATGAGGTGTTTTACAAAATTATTTAAAATATGAAGTCATAGTTGGTTATACATTTAGCTATTTGTTCTTATTGATAATAATAGATTACATGAAATTAGGATTTCCCCAGAAAGTGGAGCAAGATTTTTTATCTATGCCCTGGAATCTGGCAGAGATACCAAGCTTCTGAAACGATTTCTACCTCAGAGGTCGGTGTTGGTCCAGGAAGGTCCTAGATAACCTGATATCGTATGGGGCTGGTGCAGAATAGAATCTCTAATTTCTAAAATTAGGATTCATACTCTAAGTACACTCTAAGTAATTCAGTCAGTTTCAGGTATTCCTCAAACTTAGGAGTTCTAATAGTGTTGAGAAGGAGATCTATGGCCAAGCGATTGGTTTAAAAGAATTCCACAGAATCCTGTAAATTCTGTAACAAACAATATCCATAGGTATATGTTAAGACTACCCCATGGCCTGTATTTTCAAAACCACATTACACTGCCCTAACAGGTAGGTTTTTTGTGTGACACAAAACTTATCATTTGCTGAATCTCTTTCTCCTCCATGGGTATCAATATTCCATTCCGATATAAACTGTTCCTATGCCATTTAAGGGTTTATTACAAATTAAAGAGTTAAAGAAGCCACCCAGATATTTTGGGAAGCAACACAGAATCAAAGCATCAATAATAAAAGTCAAGTCAACCTCTTATATATCAAAGCACCATATCCAAAAGGTCAAGGATGTAAAAAATGACCTTTATATTTTATACACTAAACAGTGTTTGGTTACTGTTTTCAAAAAATTATCAGAGAACATAGAAACCTTCAAACAATAGTTAAAATGAATAGAAAGTTTTTAAAAGTGTTTATTCAGAGTTTAGTGAACACTCAAATATTTGTTAATTACAAATCTGCATTATTATATATTTTACTTTCTATAACTGTAAATATAAACTAAAGTGTAGTACATGTGATCTAATCTATATTCCTAGCCCTACTCTATACGTAGCTATATCTTAAATATAAACCTATGCTCAAGTGAAATATAAAAGGATTATTACTTATAATATAAAGTAAAAGGCATATGCCTAGAGCCTGAATAATCGGTACCAATCTATTGTAGTATACTTCACTTAGAAATACTCATTTCTGTTAGCATGGTGTCTTGTAAGTAATGCAATGAGTTAAAAGATTGGCCTTGGTTCAAGAGAAAAGCCTGATGAAAATAGATATAAAAACCAATAAAATCGAA